TGTCAGTCAAAATGTATGTCTAAAGAGTTAACCTTTAAATATATTTAATTTAGCTTTCAAATATTTATTTAAATGTTTTAAATATTGAAAGACTGTACAAGTATTGTGAATTCCAGAGGGCTTTCAGTTTGCAGTAAAAGGCCAGAGGATGGTGAAATAAATTAAGGAACGGCAGTGATTGTATTCATACACTGCACAAACTGTAGTGTGATTTGTTTACTTTTGGTTTAGCTATTTATATGAATCTAGCCTCATAGTTTATAAATAGCGGCTTGTGATTTAAGCAAATTAAGCAGACAGTAAATTGTGATTTATTAAAAATTGTAAAATATTGTAAAATGCTAAATTTTTCTCTAGTCTACTAACAAAAGACCAAGAATGTTTATAGATTGAGGCACATATTTTTTTATCTGGAGAAATAGGAATAACTTCCACATAATTATTATGTCATTAGTGCAAACAAAACACCTTGCACCCTGTATTCTCCCTGTTCGCCTTACACATTTTCTTTTTCTTTTGGCTTCAAGAAATAAGAGCTTGCTAATCATAAAAGTTCAACTGGACCAGAGAACCCAAGTCTTAATGATTTCTGGGAGAGATTTGATTTTTCCCACTTAATTCTCCCATGAAACCTCGAAGAGCTGTCTTTGGCTAGATTTTGCCCTTTTTGTTACTATTAGTCACATCAATAATATACAATTAAGGTGTTGCATTTTATCTTTGACAAGAGAAAATTAAGAAATGAAATGGGATTTCTATTGCCAGAACTTTGTTGGGTTCCACTGAACATAGATGTCTCCTCTAAGTTGGCATTTTACAGCTTAATAATTTTAGTATAATTATGTACATTATGACTACCAAGTCTAAGCAGAAAACTAGATGGGTTGATATATGTAACCCAATCTTTTAATTATTTATCCAAATTGTTAGGGATAACATTGGTTACCTAACTTAGTTTGGGTAAAATAATATATATAAACTATGTTAGTGAGTTTAAGTGTATGTATCACTTTAAACTGTAAACCAAGTATTTTGGGTGTGGTTGTAAAATCACCATAAGAGGGAGCAAGAGAGCTCACTGTTTGCTGGCTTATTGGATTGATGATTGATGGTTTGCTAACTGCGTGTTTTCCTTGCTACTGAGTTTGAACTGCGAAGGAAGAAAAAGAGAAAGGAGGTTTGACTTCTTCATATCTCTGACTGCAAAAGAGATATATCACTGGACTGATTGTTTGTAAGTTTAACGACCTCTTTTTCTACACTGGACTTTGCAAACTGAATAACCCCTGGACTGACTGAACTTAGTGTATGAAATATGGACTATTTGACTATGCTATAACTCTTGCTGGAATAAAAACTATTTAACTTGCACAGTGTATCTGTCTTACTGAGTGTAAGCTACTACAACGTTTTTATCTCACATATCTGCCTGCCTGCTAGACTGCCGTTGCACATTCTGCTAGGGTGTATATCCCTAACACAAATGTCAGGCCATGTGCTCATTGTCTCAGCTGATTTACTTCTTGTCAAGAACTATTTGTATAAGGAGGCCAACAAGAAACTTGAGAAGAAAGGAACCCCCGTTCTCTAAGGAACTTCCCCTTAGAGAAAATTGGAAGAGTGATTTTACTGTTACATCTACTGAATAGGCCATTGTTCCTGGATACAGAAAAAAAGAGAAAATTACATACAAAATCTAAACTCATTTTGATTTTTGTACAACAAAACTTCCTTTTACATTCTCCTGAATGGTTAATAATTGATCATCCTTACAAAATCCTCATATTAATTCATTTCAAGATAAATATATTCTGTAAAGTTCAGAAAAGGAACAAAAAACATAAACCAAAATAAAGTCTTGAAATAAGAAAGGCAAGGGAAATATAGTTAAATCTAGTTCATGTCATAGCATTACTATAACTTTCAGTCCCAATCTATTCACGAAACCATTTTTGCATCCTCCATCCTAACAAAGCCTAATATATTGCCTTTTATGCTTTTAACTTCTCATCTTTATCTTTTATAGCATCTCATCAAATTTATCCAACCATGACCATGTAGTTTCAAGGCCCCACCAGCCAAAACCTTTAAGCTCCATTAATTTTCATGTTGTCGTTCAGTATACATATAAATATTTCCCAGTGAACCCAAGGATGATTGGGTGAATTGAAATGATTGGCTGAATTGAATCCAATACTGTTTTACTGAAAGAATTGGTAATACTCCTAAAACATTCAATGTGCTGATTTTAGGTTAGAAAAGTAGAACTTGAAATTTTTCAGGAGTATAAATGGATATTTTATAGATAATGCCTGACCATCCCAAACAAAGTTTTGTCTGTTTGGTGCCTAAGTGAGAGAATAGCTTACTTGTGGAAATCAGCACAAATCAGCAGGAATTTAGTAGCAATCACTTTAATTTAGTTTTTCAATGTTACTGTACTATATACTGAATTTTTAACTGGTTTATATGTGTTATTGATTTAGTTGATATTAAACTGTTAGTGTGTTTTATTTAGATGTCATTTATTATGCAAACATTTTAGTTATATACTTTGATTGATTTTAATTAAGAAATGTCATTCATTTTATGTCTGTATTTTGATTCTAGCTGCTTTCAATATAAATAATAAAATGTTGGTGGAAATATGTTTAATTAAATAGAAAGTCAGTCAAAATAGTTACGGTAGATTTAATCATTTTTTGAGTAGCCATCTGAAAGGTTGACAGAACTTACCCAGTTTTTACATTTCTAGTACTTCTCCTGATTAATAAAAATGTACCTTTGTCCTAGACCAGGGGCGTCAAACTGAAGGCCTTGAGCCAGATCTTGCTCATGGGGTGCTTAGATCTGGCCCACGGGGCTGCCCTGGATACAGTGAAGAATTGGCTCACAGTGCCAGCGAAAACAGAGCTTCGTGTTTGGCTGCCACAGCCTCCTGCAGCCCTCTGCCAGCAAAAAACAGAGCTCGGCCTCCCAAGCTCCATTTTTGCTGATGGTGTGCTTGGGCCACTAGATGCTTCCTCTTCAAAATGAGTGACGTTAAGCTGGCCATGTCTACCCTGGCCACATCCTCCATCTCCCTGAGGTGAAACACAACCCTGATGTGGCCCTCAATGAAATCGAGTTTGACACCCCTGTCCATACTATTTTCAATACCAGTTGATGCAGACAGCTCACTGTGTAGCCCTCTTACAATGAATTGGGTCCAGATTAGCATTTGTGAAAAGCAGAGCTCACAGTCCTGTTACATACGTTGTTCTAGACCCAAAGCTGCACTGAGGATCTTTGGAGATCGTACAAAAGGTCTTTCAGATTATGTGAAGAATTTTTTTAAAAAAAATCAGCAGACACACAATTTTTTAAAAAAACAATATGTAATTATTGAAAGTAGTTGTAGTAATCTCTACTTAAGTAATAATAGTCTCCTGATTCCTTTATGTGTTTAGGTAACTTGATCTGATAATTTTATATTTTACGGAAGTACCATTATATATTGTTTTCTGTACGGTCTATAAAATGTGATTCAATGGTCCATTGTAAGGGTTTTTCTTTTTATCAATGGTGAGATTATAACTAATGACAACAAAATGCACTACTAATTATTCAGTATGATATAAACTACGTAGTTATTAAATAAAATGAACAGGAAAAGAAACTATATTAATATATAAAAACCCATAAAATATCACTTTGGGATTTATTCATCTTTCATCTTATCACTAAATATAGACTATATAGAAATACTTTGCTCCATCTTTTAGTTTTTGGACTATAAAAATATTAAAAAATAGATAACAAATATCTGGAATCCATTTCTTAAGATCAAGAAGGGTTTTTTTTCCTTTTTTCATTTATGTAAGAGTATTTTGCTCAGTACCACATTTGATAAAGCCGATGGCTCATAAAATGACAAATTCTGTCTTTTAGGAATATAATTTAACATCATGCTACTTTGCTGTAAAATTTTGAATAATAACAATAACAATAGTTATTAAAAATAGCAATAGTTTAAATTTGCATCTTGAAATGCCTTATATATTAATTCAAATATTTAAACTGGCATTAAATTTAGGCAGTGTTAGAATTAGGTTTCTGTTAACAACTGTGACCAATATTACTATATACATTACAAAATGAAGTAAAAGAATTAACAGTAATTTCTGACTAATGTAGAAAATTTTGCAAGTTTAAAAAATTGAATATAAGGTCAGGAAAATTCAAAGTTCAGCTGTGGTAACTAACATGTGGTAACAGATGTGGTTATTAATCATCAATGAAGATCATTGTTGAAAATGGTTTCCATATTGAGTTAAATTCTAGATCAGTTATTATTTTCCATGGTTATGTGGCCAGATTACTGTGCACCAAAGCACATGGAATGCTGTTAACTTCCCTCAGAAGTGGTACGCATTTATCTATACTCATTTGCATGCTTTCGAATTGCTACATGGGCAGGAGCTGGGACAAGGAATGGAAGTTCACCCCTTCCATGGCTTGAACCCGGGCTGTCCAGCTGACAAGCTCAGCATCTTTAACCACTGAGCCATCGCATCCCTCCATAAAATATCTATTAGGAATTAATATTTGAATCCTTCTTAAAATATACATTAGTCTTAAGGTATCATTCATCTGGAATACTATATATTGATAGTCAGTTCAGTGAAAAAAAGAGAGATAAAATCTAAATTAACAATGGGATCTCATATTGTCAGTAGGCTATCTTGTGAGGTGTTTCTCAGGATCACTTCATTTCATTGTTCTAGCAAGTTTGTGTATGCTTTGTTAAAAAAATTTCAAAGGTGACAAGTGTATTTCTAATAACAGATCACACTAAAAATGCCTTGATTCATAATCTGCCCATCTTCATTTCTTTCGGATCTTAATTTATGACATTTAGCCTCATGGTTCAATGGTACCAATATTTTTATGTGCTCTTTTATGATAACGTTATTTGTAACTTCGTTTTGATGGGGGCAACTTTTCCCTTATTTTCGCAGCCAGATGTACCTCTTTGCCTCTCAGAAGAGCAACTTAATGCCCTTCTGGAAGACTGTATGCAAAACCTAAGAAGAGGATGTGATCTTAATTTGACCAGATGTGAAGAAAATTCTGTTGAGAGGATAAGCCCTTGTGATACCTTTGAAGAGAACATGCCAGACTCTAGGAATGAAGTGTTACATGATATCCAGCTACCAGCAAACGAAGAAATGCTTGGAGATGAATATAAAGATGTATTTTCAAAGGAAAATATAGACTCCTGCTTTAATCCCAGCAAGACATTTTTTGAATTTCCCATGTCGGAGAAAAAGGGAAATGAAGAAGACCAAGAGGAGGCACCAGACACTGCTAATGGCTCTGAAGATTTCTTCATGTCAAAGGTTTTCAGTATAGACAAGATGAAAAAGCCTCCTTTTCTTGATGAACCTTTTTATTGTGTCAGCATGAACAATGAACTTTCCACAGATGCCAGCATTCCTAGCATACCACTAAAAACCAGAGGAGGTGAGGCTATTAATAAACTTTTAGACCAAGCATTTGATTATGATTTTAAAAGCCCAGACAAGTCAGGCAGGATTTCATTAAACATATGCACTAATGTTTGATGGTTATGCTGGTTATGCGCAAAAGCACAGAATGAGGTTGAGAATAACAGACCATTTCAAAATGTATTCTGACATTTTTAAACTGACCTAAATAGCAATGATTACTAGTTCTTTTTTAAAAAGTACCAAATATAATGTTTTTGTCAGTTAGTTGTAAGGTGGGTAGGCATATGTTATGATTTCATAGACAAGTATGTTTCTTGTGTTTTTATTTTATACATTGTACAAAAATTTCAAAAATATCAGCTGATAACGTTTTAAATATAAAAAAGCTCAAAATCATAGAAGAGAATGTGTAACTGTTAACATTACTTGGCAATAGTATCTTGATAGATATATTTCCTGTTACAAACCAAAATTGTCTGGCAATCTTTCTTAATTATATAATCAAATAATGCTGCTTGTGACGCATAAACGTCTTAAATTTCAACCTATTTAAGGATATTAGCTGTGCCTCTTTTTCCATGGCAAAATATTTTAAACATGCTACCAAGCTTTTCATTTTTCTCTTTAGTCTTCTCATCTGCATCAATTGTATTAATTGGAAGATTAAATTAGTCTAACATATTCCTCACAATATTTAATAATATTCTTAAACTTTGCTTAAGTGTATTTTTTTATCACACAACAATGTTTATTCTGCTCGTTGCTGGGCAATAAATATTTAATGTTGCTATTGAAATAAGATGCTCCCTCTGAATATCTTGCAAAATCCAGTTGCTCTTTTGCTTGTGATATTTTGAAGTTAATTAACATTGGTACTGGAAGACGGAAGTTAAATCAAATTTTAAAAAAACAGAATATATTCATTTATTTATTTCAGAAGTAAATAGCAATATCTTTCTTACATTGTCTATTGCTGCTTTCCTTGATGAACTTAGGTTGCATTTAGTATTTACTAAATTTCACCTCTTATTTTGCTAATATTTCATGATAGATTTAAAATGCAATGTCCATGGAGGTTCTCAGTCATCAGTTCATAGTTATCCTAAAGATGCTTTTCAAAAGGCAACTGGATTTTCTTGGGTTTTTTTTCCCCTTGAAAATGATTTGCTTAGTTAATATACTCTTCTTTCCCCATTTTTAAATGTGTCAGTATGAATGGATTGTGACTGGTCCATTGTGTTTCTGTTGTCAAAATTGTGATTAAAATTAATGGATTAAATGCCATTGAACAGGGTGGTTTCTCTGAAACAATGCAGTTGTTGAAAAAGAGATTGTATAAGGGGAGGGAGGGAGGAATATCGATAAGAAAATAGATTTAGTTGGCTCTCTTCATGTCTCCTTTGGTTCTACTACTAATGTTAACTATGCTTTGGTTAAACCTCATTGCCCTAATAAATATACTGGTCTTAGGTGCACCAAGATGAAGTCTAGATTTATCCATTCATGCCCTAGGGATAGATTACTAGTGCTACCCTCAGTCACATAGACTGTAATGTTTTCATGTTATTTAAATTTACCTGTGCCTCAGAAGTAGTGCCCAGAACTGTTTGCTGACATCTTTTCACTCAGTTATTTGAAATATTTTATTAATATGTCATGTTGATATCTTTAATGTTGTTTACTTTAACAAGCAGATGCAAATGATGATAACATGGGCTGCATAGATCAGAACATTATATAATTTCTTATAATGGGCAGTTCTGATACATGAGAAATTAGCAATCTAAAATAGCCAAAGTTGAAACCAATAGCAAAAGTGGGAATAAAATGATAATAAAGAATAGATATAAATAATATAGTTACACATGCTTAGAAGATAGATATATATTATTGAACATTGAAGGGTGCTTATTATCTTGGATACCATTTCATTTTTCAGTGTGAGTCCATGCCATTTATATTAGCAACCATTCTGTCTCTGTTGAGTTGAGTCTGTATTTGTGTCTACTTTTTCAAACCTGGATAATCTTCTGATATTATTATTCTATTAGATGAAATGCCAAACTTGTCTAAAATTATCCTGAATTATTCATCAGAATTCATAATATTCCAGTTATCTAGAAATAAACAATAGATGTCTGAATTGATAAGAGATGATATTTTATTTTTTATTAATTAAACAGATTTATGTAACTCACACATAGTGATTCTATAGTTTAAAAGATTCTGTAGTTTAAAAAATATGAGAAAATGTCATACTTATTTTAAGTATAAGACATTTTAAAATTTTAATATTGATATATATTGTTCAACCTTTAAAGTTATTCTGTTGAACCTGGATATAGATAAAAAGTAAAAAGTGGTCTTTCAAATGATTTCTATGGTACTCAGATGTATGGCTTAAATCCAAATTCTATCTGTGAACAGCAAGACTTATTCTTTCCACTCATGAATTTAGATTAGAGGATAAAATTGATTTTAACTAATTCCTCTCTTCCTCTGGAGCAGCTTGAGCCATTGAAATTTTTATGTATTTGGAGAATTAAGAATATTTGTTAGGCTTCCTGAGAGTTTTAGCTTTCACTGAATTAACTACAATTAAGTATTTTGGCCTGGGTCTTGCATACTCTCCAGCATGTGCATAATAGCCTTTAAATACTCCTGTTTCAAGTGATAACAAATAGAATAATTTATTGTGTGAGAATAGATTTGCAATTAATTTCTCTGGGGAAAAGATTAAGAATGGAGGTCATTGCAGTATAATTTATAAAATTTGTCAAAGTATTTCTGGCTCCTCCAATATGACATAGAATGATAAAGAATGCTCTTGCTAATATTAGTATTGACTGGCAGAGGTTAAATAAGATAGATAGGTAAACTTTATTATACTTTGACTAGCACATATACAAATATACATCTATAGATAAAATTCTACATACATTATAAAATATGTGGTTATATAGAACTGGGTAGTGTAGCAAAATATTAAGATGGTGATGATGAGAGTTCTTCTGAGCAATAAAATTCAAAATCTATATTTTCAAGTTGGATACTAAAGACCTTTCATTAATCCATGAATGATTTTATTTCTGTGCAGATGAGCTGAAAGATGAAGATGTGAATGAAAAGTGATGTTCTACCAACTTAAACCACATTGGTATAAAATCTACTTCATTAATTATTTGTGTATTGTTTCAGAAAAATTTATGTCATAATATTTTTGTCTTATTTTCATGTTGCAATAGGACTTCTAAATAAAGTTCTCCAGATTAACTTCTTTCTGGGGATGATTTATGTACATGCAAATGTTTTACAGATCTAAAACTATTAAGCTCCTCTATCTGCACATATATATTCCAGTTATATCAATATTTATAATGTCCAGCAAATTTATGTAAGTGATAATAATAGCACTTTTCTAACCATAAGCTATATTTAAATATTAATAGGACTATTTTTATTCTTGTTATATGCATTATCCTCCTATGGAAGAAACCCAGTGCATGTACAGTCATATGTTTTCCAGCATTTTTCCTGTACATACAATAATTTGTAAATATAAGTATCATTTGAATAAACATTTTTGGAGGTGGATGATTATCTGAAGCATTCGATAGCTGAACATCCTGGATTTTTGAAAACATAAAGCAAACATGCAAAGAATAATGTGGATGACATACATAAGCTATTGGCAGTTATTAATCCATTTCTTTACATTTCTCTGTCTGAGATCTCTCGTGTGATCATCTATCGATTAGCAAGCTGTATTTCTTTAAAGAGAATCTGTAGCAAATGGAGATATCCAGTATCAATAAAATGCAGGCAGATTATGGTTGCCTTACATCATGGGTGTCAAACTCACGGTGTCACATTGCCCTCACATGATGTATTGTGATGATTTTCCCCTTTGCAGAGCTGGGGTGGGCATGGCCTGTGCATGATGCATCTGGCCCACGGGCTGCCAATTTAATACTCCCCCTTGCCTCACAAAAATAGTTTGACATTTCCTTTTAATTTTGTAATTTTAACAAACTTCTGATTCTAAAAATTAATGTGACTTTTCAACTTTGTTTTGAAATGAGAAGGGATTTCAGTCACACTACCTAACCAACCAGATTGGCAGGAGTGGGATTCAACTGTTGTAACAACTGGTTTGGTGAGTGTGTGTGTAGTGTTTAAAAATCACCCATTTTCAGCTCTGAAATATGCCTTCTATTGCAGCCTCAGTGAATTAAACAGCTAAGGCACAGCAATCCACTCTGCTGTGTGAATCAACTGGGCTGTAAAACATGGAAATATAGGGACAGACTAGGTCAAGCGTGGGTGGGGCCTCACCAGAACTAAGGGCCCACCCCTGAAGATTGGCCTAAGAAGCATTGTCATAGAGGAGAGGGTGGGTGCAACAGCTACTAATACATGCATTAAAAGGAAAACAAATGAGCCAGGTTTAGATCTGCTGTTGTCACATGTTCTAAAAACATATAGAGATTTTGGCAGATAGGAGAAGGGTGCATGAAATCAAGAAGCAGAAACAAACTTGACTGTTTTCATTTGTACAAACAGATTTGCAGCAATCAGTTTAGCAATGGAAATCCTAGGCTGGTGTTGGGTATTACTATTTTACTGGAAATAATGGGAAAAAATAATGTTCACTCAAAGAAGCAGACAAACTTTGACTATAATTCAGCTAAATTAGTACAGTTGTTCATGATAGACTACAGTAATCAGGTCTCTGTCCTGGTTGGGACAACATGGAGAAAGGCCTAGCAATATGATGTATATTTCTCTGGCAGTTCTTTTGCATAGATCTTTCTTTTTATATTTTTGCGAAATTCTAAGAAAGCAGCAATAAATTAGATGCAAGCCACTGTATTCTGACATAAGTTTGACAAAACATGTCAGCTTATTAGTTAATATAGCTTTACGTTGTTTAGCAATGTATGCAAGGCATTACTCATAAGCACCAGATGTTCTGTTCTTAACCACAAGTATTCCACAATTCAGCCTTTTTTAATTAACCGGCTCATCATTCCAGGTTCCTGTTTTTTCAAATTTTAGGGTCAATTTACAAATTGAATTGAAAGAATTCAATTTGTAAATCAAGAATGTATTAT